TATCTCTTGCAAACACCCCTATAATTCCCCCCTAATGCTTATTCCACCTCCTTTGCATCCTTTGCATACAATAAAATATATTGTCCAAAGCATGTGAGAATAACTTGTTTGGAAATGTTGATATAGGACAGCAGTACATAAATTACAATTCTTTACCTTCTGTAATTAAGTCTGTTAAGCAAATAAATACTGCAATATAGTAAAAATGGGATGTCTCTGTTAATCATCAGAAGTAGAGAATATGATGTAATTTTGGCTATGTGTCAGCTAATGATAAGCAGGAAGCTATAACTCTTGTCCCAAAGGTGTTTTTTCAAGAGGCAACTGAACTTTGTTGTTATTCTTTGAAGTTTTTTTTGCTTTTCATCCAAGAAGTTTCTTCAGCTCTGAGCAAAACATCTTCAAAGAAAAACAAGAAAGTCCTGTTGCCTCTTTAAAAAGCATCTTTGGGACAACCATAACCTGGATGACTCTCCATAGACATGTAGTATAACTATTGTTCTCTGTTCACCACTGCTGTAATGATGAGGCAGTCGAGGTATTTGATCATGATCAAATGAATCATGATGATCTTTATTGGAATCTAGTCTTGCATTTATACACATTTTTAGTAATCCTCTAACATTGGTTAACTTTGGTTTGTGCTTGACTTTCGTTATTGTTCAGCATAGTAACTAACACAATTAATGATCTCTAGTCAAAGTCCAACATATGTTTACTTCCTCTCTCTAATCCTCTTTTAGATGAGTAACTTTATTTGCCTGAGTTGTATTTTCTTGGAAGCATTCTTTTTTCTGAGGTTTGCCATCAGATAGGAACATTCCTGCAATTACAACTCTACACACTACTGCATTAAAATATTGCCATAGTTTCCCTTATGCCACCAGTAAAAACATGGACAACTACTGCAAATATGGTCATTATCATTTTTTTTAAGCCATTCCTTGGAATCATTTTGAACATTAATGTTGATAGAAGATCTTGTGCTAATGCAAACATTTCTTGATTACTATGTATTACATGAAAGGAGTCCACACCGGGCATCCCCCAGGTGATGATTTCAGGTTCATATAATTTATGTCATGTTCTACTCTTATTCAAAGAGCTTTAGAATAATAGAGAGGGGATGAAAGAAGAGAAAAAATACAACAAATAGGCCAAATATCAACTTTTGTGGTTGATCAGTCACACCGTCTTGACTAAATTTCAGTTATTTATTTGTATCCCTCCTTTACTATTTTTACAAACAATTCAAGATAGAAAACATACCCAATACTTCTTCCTCCTCCCCACAACAATAACTCATGAAATGGGCTGGGTTGGGAGAGAGTAACTGGCCAAAGGTCACCAGGCTGGCTTTCATCACTAAGGTGGGATTTAAACTCACAGTCTCTGAGTTTCTATCTGGTCCCTTAATCACTAGACCAAAGTGGCTTTCATTGTCTTTATTACACCAGAATCCAACAGGGAACATGCTAGTTCTAAGAATTGCAGTCTATCAGACACATATGATCAACATACAAGTGGATTACTGCCTTCCTGACAAACAGGCAACAAATAGTAAAAATAGGGAACACCCTATCAAACCCTGCACCAGTTATCAGCAGTGTCTCACAAGGGAGCGTCCTAGGACCCACACTCCTTACACTCTATACAAATGACCTTTGTGATCACCTTATTAGCAACTGCGTCCTCTTTGCTGATGATGTAAAACTATTCAACACCACTGTCAATACTACCGTCTTTCAAAAAGACTTTGATTATGTGTCTGAATGGTCTAACAATTGGCAACTCTAAATATCTACCAACAAATGCTCTGTCCTACACATTGGTAAAAAAAAATCTATATCCCAAATACAATCTAGGTGGATATGATGTTGTTGATGACCCTCACTTTGTCAAAGACATTCTCATATTGAATGATCTAAGCGCCAAAGCTCACTTCAACAGTATTGCCAAAAAGGCTTTAAGAGTTGTAAATTTAATTTTATGAAGCTTCTCCTCTGGTGATACTGTTTTGCAAACTAGGGCATTCAAAACCTTTGCTAGACCAATTATTGAATTCAGCTCTGCTGTCTGGAATCCACACTATATATCTGACATAAATACAATTGAGCAAGTCCAGAAGTATTTTACCAGAAGAGTACTACATTCCTCTGTTCTCAACAGAATACCCTACAGCACCAGACTTGAGATTCTTGGCTTAGACAACCTTGAATTATGCCGACTAAGATTAGACTTAAGCATAGTACATAAAATCATATGTTACAACGTCTTATCAGTTAATGAATATTTCAGCTTTAACAACAACAACACTACAGCGCACAACAGATATAAACTAAATGTAAACCACTCCAAACTCGATTGCAAGAAGTATGATTTCGGCAACAATGTCTGGAACTCACTACCTGATTCTGTTGTCACCTGTTCAAACCCGCACTCCTTTACCCTCAAACTAACCTCTATTGACCTCACCCCATTCCCAAGAGGTCTGTAAAGGGTGTGCATAAGCGCACAATCGTGCCTCCCATCCCTGTCCTATTGTCCCCAATTATTAGTTTCTATTTCTTGTATTTAAACTTATGTTTGTTCTTATTTCTGTTATATTGTAAGTTTTGACAAATAAAATAAATAAATAAAAATAAATAAAGATAGGGTAGTCTGTTCTAATCAATCAACATGTTTTCTTTTACTTTTTAAGTATTTGAGATTATATTATTTTGAATCACATGAAAGGAGCCCACACCGGGTACCCCCAGGCAACCGTGATGTCACCATCTAATCCTTTCAACCCTGAAGGACCTTAACAGTTGCTTCCAGCACAAACGGGACAAGATGTATAAGCGATAGCAATAACTCTTAGACTTATATACAACTTCACCGTGCTTTACAGCCCTCTATAAGCAGTTTAGTGTCAGCATATTGCCCCCAACAGTCTGGGTCCTCATTTTACTGACCTCGGAAGGATGGAAGGCTGAGTCAAGCTTGAGCTGGCCAGGATTGACCTGCTGGCAGTCGGCAGAATTAGCCTACAATACTGTGTTCTAACCACTATGGCACCATGGCTACAAATTTAGCTATACTCCATGTTCTCCATTAGGGATATGATTTCCATGTGTTCACCCCACTCCATCTTTGAAAGAAAAGCAGTTTAGGAGTAATTGTAAAGACAAAATCAACCCTGAGTAATGCGTAAATAGAATAATCTATGCATCCAAGCTAAATGACTTGTTGTGTATAGAAAACAAGTTAACGGAGATAAGAGTATGAATTCACTGGATGGTCTTTTGTTTTGTATGTAAACTGAAAATTTATTTAAAATGGGTCATGGAAAAAACCAGTGGAAAATTAACAGCAAATGAACTTCGTGTCTTTATTGACAAACATTTCTCAAGGATTCCTCTGGAGTAAGTCCATTATTTCATAATACAAATTATCAAGTGCATCAATACCATATATAAAATCCAGATGGTTCCACTGAGGAATAAATTTGTGGGAAATAAGGTTTTGAATTTGGGGGATTAATTGATTAACATCATCAGGATCCGAAAGCCAGTCATTTCCACCATTCCAAATTGCCGTTGGTACAGTCATAGCTGATATATTGTATTCAGGAGGCAAATCCTGTTTTTAAAAAATGAAAAAGAAAATGTGATGTTGTCCTGCTCCTCAGATCCAGAGAAAGATATTATTAGCTAAATTGTGTCCCACTTTGCAAGAAAATAAAGGAAAGAAAATGGGGCTGAATTCTTGTGTATTCGTTAACTTGAGTTCCGTAGAATGCTAAGTATGTATTAACATTTCTTCCAAAGGCTACATATTTTCTCATTGTAATTGAAAATGAAATGCGTTCACCCATAACACTGAGTCTCAAAAGAAGTTTAATGCTCCTGGGTGACCTACTTTCACACTTCACTCTTTTCCTTCTGTCGGTTATGTTTTACGCTAAAGGTAATTATGATATATAAGGGAGGTGTCCTTTGAAAAGCTCCATATGGGTTCAAAACGTTAACGGCACCATTGTCCCAATTTTTAACCAGTCTTCATCGTGCAAATATTGAGTTTGCCCATACAAACACCCACATGTGCATAGTTGCTTGGTTGTATATGTGTGTTCACATAATACTTAAAGATATTTGGGAAAGTCTGTATCTCAAGGCTTGTTATTTGAATTTCTGAAGCATACATGCATAAGAAAGATTTCAAGGCAGGAATTTTGTATGATCTACTTTCAGTCTTAAACCTTCTATTATAACTATTCATATTTCTTAATTAAGACCATTTCTTTCTGATCGGTCTATCTATCTATCTATCTATCTATCTATCTATCTATCTATCTATCTATCTATCTATCTATCTATCTATATCTATCATCTATCCGTTTGTTTATTTGTTTTGTAGCATACCCCAATGCTCAAACAAAATAATGCTACTTAAGAACAGTATGGTAAAAATAAAAATCCAGAGAAAATCTATGACAGGTACATGCTGTCAATCATCCAGGACTGAACACATGTTGGAATAAAACTGCTCTAAAGTGTTTATGCAATTACAGTAAGGGGAGGGGGCTTCGCAAAGGAAAATATTCAAAAGAGGCAGTCAATAGAAGTTTTATTGTCTGACCCACATCCATGAACCTCACAGAGGGAGGGCGTTTGCAACTAGCTCCTTCTCAATGACTGAACCAAGCAAATTCAGTTCTGACAAAGGTTTGCCTGAGATACCCTGGTGCCATATAGTTTAGGACTTTCACCACCACTTTGAAGCAGATGCAGAAGCATACTGGCAGTTCTAGTACAGATCCAAATCTAAATTGGCAGGTTTGCTGACACATTTTGTACCAGCTGCAGCTTCCAAGTTGTTTTCAAAGGCAGCCTCACAACAGATCATATGCAATTAAAGGCATGAGTTAGTAGGGTTGGGCCAATGGAGAAAAGCCATTGGGATTTGATCTATGGTCAATTTCATCATGCAAAAAAAGTGTTCTCCTACTCTCTCTCTCCACCTATCTGTTTTTAGTTCACTTTATGTACATTTTCACAGAGATTCAAAAAGGGAGGGAGGGAGGAATTGCAAAGCTGTCTCTCAGTTGTATCAATGGGTGAATTCCTGGATGAGACTGGTCGTGTGCCAAAAGTCAGGATTAGCCAAAAGTCAGGATTAGCCCAATGGATCAACTGGGGGTGAAACCCCTTCGATGCAATTCTGGTTACATAATAATAAATTGGCTCAGCTTTCAAACAAGGTGGACAGCATAAAATTACATGTGGGCTAGACCAGCGGTCGCCAATGGGTGGGCTGCGGCCCACTTGTGGGCTGTGAGAAAATTTTGGTGGGCCGCAGAGAAATCTCACCCCAAGAGCACCCCCCAAAAGCAATTCATCCAGATTGCGCAGAAACACAAGTGCTGCGCCACCCACATGGCCCACAGGAACCCTCCCTGCCCACTCACTCCTTACCCAGTAAACTTGCCTGCTAAATTTCTATTTTTCCTTTTTCTAACCGTCAACTGTTCTCTGTCCCAGGAGTTTTAGATTAGCTAGGAAGCAGAAAATGGTTGAATTTCTTGCTTTCCAGCTAGTCTTTAGCTCTTCAGCTCTGCTTTTAAGTACAGCTGAATCTTCCTTAGGACTGAAGGTTTGCTTGCAAGCAAATTCAGTGCAGATTCACGGCAAGCAAATTTGAGAGATTGATCTAGCCAATGGCAGATAGATAGAATGATTCTGAATCATTGAATGATTCTGTGAGCAACTCAATCTGCCTGCTTTGCCTGATTTTGAGTAAAAGATGCTCTTTTTTAAATAAAAAATTCAATATTTACATGCATGGTGTGTTGTGAGTTAATTTTATGAGTTTGCTTGCTAGCAAATTTTATGTGACAGACTGAGCTAGCCAATGGCAGATATATAGATCTCTGAATGAATCTGTGATTCTGTGAGCAACTCAATCTGCCTGCTTGCTTTGCCTGATTTGGGTAAAAGTTGCGCTTTTTTAATAAAAAAGATTCAATATTCATATAAATATTTATAATATTTACAAACAAGCCATGCCCAGCCAGTCACATGACCACCAAGCCACACCCACAAATTAGGCCACACCCACAGAACCAGTTAGTGGTCCCTGGGATCTAAAATTATGAGTTTGGTGATCCTTGAGATCCAAAAGGTTGGCAACCCCTGGGCTAGACGGTTGCAGAAGCAATGGTGTCCAATGCAAGATATATGTACAATACATATCATTACTATTGAGATAACCATCTGCTGGAAAATACTTTACCTGTCCATAATGAAATTTATTTCCAAGTCTTCCATGATCATAAGCTTGAAGTTTACCACTGTTAATGGCCTAAAATATAAAGAAATATCAAATGAATGTATTTATGATCTTACTTCAGCTTTCCTTTCCTTTACAAGCACTATGAGGATTGATTATAAAGTTACTTTTTCATACCCATCATAACTGAGTGGTTGTTAAAAAAGGCAGTTGCTAAATGAGGACAGTCTGTACTCTCAATCGGCAGCAGTGTCTTTGGGATGATGAATCTTTGGGGAGTTGAAACAGGCAAAACGGCAGACATCCCTTTTTGTATGTCCATCAACAAATAGTGTAATATAAACATAAACTATAATAATAGGAACAATAATAATAATAACAACAACAGCATCACATCTATGCACAAGATGGGCAAAACTTGTATCTTCACACTGCAACTGCCACCTTGCCTCTTTTGAGCTCTCCCTACAATTGCTGGCGATCATCATCATATGTTAATGTTCTTATTGGCCTTTCAAGCAATTCCTCGTGCTTTATTTTTCCATTAGCAAAAACAAAAACCAATAAGTTAGCATCGTTAACCTATTTTACACTTGAGGAACATGAAGAAGCTGAAAGAAGAGGCCTCTCCTAATAAGATTGAGCAAGTTCATAGCCAATGAAATTTTTGACTGATTTATTTATATATTTATACAGTTTAGAAGCTCCCTAACTTTAAATAAATCTGAGATGTTTGCATTCTTTAAAAAATAAATTAAAAAAGGAAGAACAATACAAAAATAATAATAAAGGAATTGATTATATTAACCTCCATTATCCGAGTCTCTACATTAAACAAACTCAACCAACAGCTTGTCTCAAAGCTTGTGAGAATAGCCAAGTTTTCAGTGACTTTTCTAATGTCATTAGAGAGTCCCATAAGACTCTTGGAAAAGCAGGGAGATTATTAAACAAATACTATGAAAGAGAAGGCTTATTCCCTAGGTTCTAATAAATGACCCTGTTTAACTGAAGGGCTAATGTGTCATATGAGACAAACTAACTATTGGAGACAAGTGGCTCTTCAAATACTAGGCCCAGTGCCATGAAGGGCTTTTAGATAGTAATCAGAACCTTGAATTGGCCCTGGAGACTAACTGATAACCAATATAGCTTACAGAGCAATGGTGTCACCCAGGCATATTGCGCTATGTTGTCTGTCCTGCCATATTCTGGAGCAATCATAACTTCCAGTTAGCAGCTGCCAAAAAAGCTAATCCAATCCTTGGTTGTATAAACAGAGGCATAGAATAAATCACATGAAGTATTAGTACCTCTTTATAAAGCTTCAGTAAGACCAAACCTGGAATACTGCATCCAGTTTTGGTTACCACATTACAAAAAAGACGTTGAGACTTTGGAAAAGGTGCAAAGAAGAAGCAACTAAAATGATTAAAGGTCTGGAGACTAAAACATAGGAAGAACAGTTGCGGGATTTGGGTTTGGCTAGTCTAGAGAAAAGAAGGACTATGGGGGACATATCCAGTATTTGAGAGGTTGCCATAAAGAGATGGGGAACACTGTATTTTCCAAAGCACCAGCGGGCAAGAAACAAAGGATGAAAATTAGTCAAGGAGGGAAGCAACCTGGAATTAAGGAGAAATTTCGTAACAGTGAAGACAATTAACCAATAAAACAGTTTGCTTTCAAAAGTTATGACTGCTTCATCGCTGGAGGTTTTTAAGAAGGAACTGGACAGTCACTTGTCTGAAATGGTATAGGATCTCCTGCTTGAGCAGGGGGTTGGACTAAGTGACCTTCAAGGTCCCATCCAGCTCTATTCTGATTCTAATTTTCTAGGGCAGCCCCAATTGGAGTACATTGCAGTAATTCATTGGTGAGGTGACTAAGATCTCAGTAAGTAAGTATTGCCAGAAAGGCCTTAAGAGTTGTACATTTAATTTCATGAAGCTTCTCCTCTGGTAATACTGTTTTGCAAACTAGGGCATTCAAAACCTTTGCTAGACCAATACTTGAATTCAGCTCTGCTGTCTGGAATCCGCACTGTATATCTGACATAAATACAATTGAGCAAGTCCAGAAGTATTTTACCAGAAGAGTTCTACATTCCTCTGTTCTCAACAGAATACCCTACAGCACCAGACTTGAGATTCTTGGCTTAGACAACCTTGAATTACGCTGACTTAGATTAGACTTAAGCATAGTACATAAAATCATATGTTACAACGTCTTATCAGTTAATGAATATTTCAGCTTTAACAACAACAACACTAAGATTAGACTTAAGCATAGTACATAAAATCATATGTTACAACGTCTTATCAGTTAATGAATATTTCAGCTTTAACAACAACAACACTACAGCGCACAACAGTTATAAACTAAATGTAAACCACTCCAAACTTCATTGCAGGAAGTACGATTTCAGCAACAGAGTAGTCAATGTCTGGAACTCACTACCTGATTCTGTTGTCACCTGCACAAACCCCCACTCCTTTACCCTCAAACTAACCTCTATTAACCTCACCCCATTCCAAAGAGGTCTGTAAGAGGTGTGCAAAAGCGCACAATTGTGCCTACCGTCCCTGTCCTATTGTCCTCAATTATTAGTTTCTATTTCTTGTATTTAAACTTATGTTTACTCTTGTTTCTGTTATATTGTAAGCTTTTGACAAATAAATAAATAAATTAAATAATTGCTAAGGGGCTTCTAATACAGGAATAGGCCTGATTGGCAAACTAGATAAATCTGTGCAAAGGCCCTCTTTGAGCAAGGGATGGAAATCAAAGCAATCCACAAATTGTGGACCAGTGATGAATGGGGAAATGCTCTCCCATTCAAAACCAAAAATGGAAAAACCCCGGAACTGGAGGGAAAAAATATTCACAACCACACAGTATTCTCACGATTTAGCCTGACTCTTTTTCTCCCCATTCAGACCTGTACAGGTTTCAGAGACTGTGACAGGACCAAGATAGCATAACGCAGACAGCTCAGAGTTGAAATATCACTTGGGTATTATCAACAAAAGAATAACAATTTATATCTCTCAAGAAAAGCCCATCCTATTGTTATGTCCTGAGGACTCAAGGAGTTCTCACTCAGGTCCACTCACTTTGTGTGGGCGTTATTCCCCCATTCCCATTGGTCGGTTCTCCCCAGCAGCCAGCTATAAAAGCAGGCTGCGGGGTCCAACTGGCTGCTGATTGCTGCGAGCCAGTTCCAGGCTTGGCAGGCACGGTCAGCCCTTTATTTGTAGAATAAAGTACTGTTGCACTCATGCTCTGGTTCAGCCTCTCATTGCTCAAACTTAACACTATAATTTCTTAAAGCATAATATATTATGCCCTCCCAGGGTAGCAATTTATTTTAGGGTATCTACCTGTTTCCAATGGATCATATTTTGCACAGATGTACCTGCTGGGACGTATGAAGTATATACATCAACTCGGCTCTGAAAGAAAAAAAAAGACATCGTGTAGATTCTTTATTGTGCAACCAAGTTAATTTCAGATCATATTTTTTTATTATGTTAAGGAATTGTGTGATTTCTTTCTTTGGTTTTATGTCACTGCATAAATCTAACCATTAATGATTGCAAACCATGGCTTATGGCAGAGAAGACCAAGAGTCTTAAAAATGTGCAAATCTCTGTGCAAATTTCTTGTGGACGTTTCATTACCCAAACTAGGTAACTTCATCAGTGCTAGTAAGGAGTGCAGTTTGTTGTCACTTTATACTCTAGGGGCTTGCCTGCCTGTGTTGGCGGCGGTGATCTTAGAGATTCTTTGGTTGAGCTATTTGCTGTTGGCTTCTTTGGCAGTTTCTTAAAAATGTCTCTGCTCCAGAAAAGGGGGAACTGGCATTAGCCATCTGTTGTTTGTATTATACAAATCCAAATTGTGTTTATTTCATAAGCCATGATTGAGTAAACCAATCTAATCCATAATTCTGAACCAATAGGCTGAAAGCCCACTCAAAGGTTTATAAGAAATGACAACTGAAAATGTTTGAAACCTTCCATAAAAAGTTATGTTTCTTTTTTGTTCACACAGTTGGGATGAAATGAGCACAATGGTAGGGACATCTGCAACCATGCAACTGAAACATGGAAAAAGCGGTGAAGGTTCTGTGTGGCCCAGTTCCTTTCTCTTCATCCCCAGGCCCAGCCAGGCTGCCAAACCACAAAGATTGGGGACCACTGTTCTAAACGTGTCTCAACTAAAAGCATGCTTAGTCTTGACCTGTAGAAAGAAGTCCATTTAGTAATGAGTCCTCTATACCAGTTAAGTAAACTAAAAAGAGTGAATCTTTGAAACAAATACAACTCCTTCCCTTAATCCAGTATTTTTCAAACTTGGCAACTTTGAGATATATGGACTTCAACTCCCAGAATTTCCTGGCCGGCTTGAATTCTGGAAGTTGAAGTCTACAGATCTTGAAGTTGCCAAGTTTGAAAAATGCTGCCCTAATTGGTTTTGTCCTCCTGACATAGTGAAATGGTAGCTTCTAATGTCTGTGGAGATTCTCAGTCATCCAGTTCATGGTTGTCTCAAAGATGCTTTTTCAAAAGGCAGCTGGACTGTTGTTTTTTTCCTTGAGGTAGACGTTTCACTTTTCATCCAAGAAGCTTCCTTGGTTCTGGCAAGATGGTGGGGATGATGGAAGGACTAGTCCTGACAGGATGGGGGAGGGCGAGCAATGGAAGGATCATATTTCTTGGCAGTCACCTGGTTGTTAGTATTCTCCGTGAGAGCTCTTGAGGTCACCCTGGCGGCATTAACCGGGCAAAGACTTTAAAATAAAGAACATTATGCTGAAACAATGTACTCACCATATTCAAGTTCTCCTCATTAAAACCATTCAGTACAAATAATAAGTTGCTACAAATAGATGCCAGTGCCTCCTGACTGCAGACTTTGGTAGAAAACAAAGTACCAAAATAAGTTTTGGGTAAAAACTCTCTTCTTCCAAATAAGATCTGTAAAATTTCAGAGACATGAATATTACTTAAACAGAATCATCCGCCCCACCCCACCCCCAGCAGTTCTACAGAAGATAATATAACTGTAAGGAACAGCGTGGAACCAATACACAGGTAGGCCTCAACTTAGAATCCTTCATTTAGTGATCGTTTGAAGTTACAATGGCATCAAAAAGTGACTTATGACTGTTTTTCATACTTATGACCATTGCAGCATCCTGGTAATCAAAATTCAGAAGCCACTGGCTCATAATTATGATGATTGCAGTGTCCTGGGGTCATGTGATCACCTTTTGCAACCTTCTGGCAAGCAACATCAATGGGGAAGCCAGATTCACTTAACAACTGGGTTACCAATTTAATAACTGCAATGATTCACTTAACAACTGTGGCAAGAAAGTTCATAAAATGGGCAAAACTCACTTAAGAACAGTCTTATATAGCAACAGAAAACTTGGGTTCAATTGTGGTTGTAAAGTCAAGGACCACCTATGTATAGGAAAACCCTCCTTTTTAGTAATATTGGCTCTGAATGATGTGTGTGTGTGTGTGTCTGTGTGATGATAGAAAGATGGGTGAATGGATGGGAGAGAAAGAGAGACAGAAGGGAGGGAGGGAATTCCATGAGTAAAATAAAATTTATTTATTTATTTAATTTATATGCTGCCCCTATCGTTGTCATGTGACCTTGGGCAACTTAAAAACATCATAAAAAACAGAAGTATGAACAATGAAACAATTCATTAATAAATAAACAGAAATTAAATACCGATTTTTTTTCTAGTATAAGACACTCCAGACTATAAGATGCACCTAGCTTTTGGGGAGGAAAACAAGGGGAAAAAAATCTGCCTCTGCCTCCCAGCAATTTGCTTCCTTGCAGCAAACAGCAAACAGCCTGGTCAGCTTCAGCACAGCCAGATTTAGCATGAGCAGCTGACTGGCGGTTGGATCGGCCTCCTGGGATACCGCCGATCAGCTGTTCTAGGCTGCGGGGATCACCGCTGCCCATCGCCATTGTTGCCGCCAATCACTGCCGCTGCCTATCACCACTTCCGTGCGTCCCATTTTCTGCCTCCATGCATCACATTTTTGGCCTCCATGCACCCCATTTTCGGTCTCCAATCACCGGCGATTGCTGCCACCTCCATTCAGGGTGCACTGAGGCAATGGTAGGCAGTGATGGCGGCAATCCCCACAGCCTGGGACAGCTGATCTGAGGTATTCCAGGAGGCCAATCTAACCGCCAATCAGCTGCTTGTGCTAAATCAGGCTGTGCTGAAGCTGACCAGGCTGTTTGCTGTAAGGAGGCAAATTGCTGGGAGGCAGAGGTCCTTCTCCTGAGGTCCTGACAGGATCCGCAGAATATCCCTTCAGCCAGAATGAGTGGGTTGGGCCAATCCCATTGGGGTGAAATGGTTTCTTGGCTCCCCAGGTACAATGGAAATGACCTGTGTCCTAAGACTGCAGCAAGAGCAAGTTTCTAAATCTTATAATTTTCATATAATGAACGCTTACAGGCCAAAGTCACCTAATCCACATACCTTAATTTCTATGTCAGAAAGTTTTGCAAGTTGGGCTAAAGGTGTTTTAGCATTTTTAACAGTAGCAACAGGAGCTAAAGCCACATAGAGTTTGATTTTGGAAGCCAGTTGTTTATTGGTTGAAAAAGCTATAAAAGCTGACAAGGAGGAAAAGAAGAGGGAAACAGCTGGTTAACATCAAAGTCAATTGATTGCCTGATTCCACATGATTAAATAAAATTCCATCTTTGATATGCTTAGCAACTAGCTTCTCTCTAAAAGCACGAAGGGGAAACAGGATGAATCCTGAATTAATCATCCACTCAGATGCTATCTGGCCTCCATAAACCTTGGCTAATAAAATGAAAAAAGAGGCAGCTACAAAAATTGCTTATCTTGTTGTTCAGCAGTATGTGTGCTATGTATGCTATGAGCGCATGGAAATGCAAACCTTTGATAACAATTCCAAGTTGTCACTAGCTTGACTGGCTGGTTCCCACCCCACACCCCCTTTCAATTATGTCCAGTTTTCTGGAGACTGACTCACTCAAGTCCCTGTAGTTTTCTTGGCAAGGTTTCTTCAGAAGTGATTTGCCATTGCTTCCTTCCTAGGACTGAGAGAAAGTGACTGGCCCAAGGTTGTCCAGCTGGCTTCGTGCCTAAGTCACTGTCACTAAAACACACTAGTTCAGGGGTGTAAATCTCAATTTCATTGAGGACCACATCAGGGTTGCGTATGACCTCAGGCCTTGATTTTGATACCCTTGCACTAGATGTACTTCCAAGCAGATGCATTCCCAATACTGTCCTATATATGCATATTAATTAGAACATTTACTTGAGTTCAGTGGGACTTCCTTTCTGGTAAATATATATAAGATTACACTCCTAGACAAGAGCAGCCCCTTGGCACAAGGTTGGGCATCTTCTGAACTTACCAATGGTGGTTCCTTGGGAGTGCCCAATATAATAAAGTTGTTGCTGCCCAGTTTTCTGCAGAACAAAATCTATAGATGCTGGAAGGTCATATTTAGCCATCTGATCATAACTGGAAACAAAAACAAATGTCCTCATTAAACTGCATGCATGGCAAGGATCTTCAACCTTTCATATCCTGAGAGTGTGTGAGTCTCATTTTCACAAAATGGTTTCCATGGAGGATATGGCGCTCAAGCCATGAATCCTATCCAGCCTAAAGTTGCCCCAGTTTCTAATATAGTAAAGGACAGGAGTGCAAGATTTAGAATCAAAAGTCTACCTTTCCATCTTGTCCATGACTAACCTTTAGGACTGGGCTTAAGCAAGGGGAGACCCAGAGCCTGGGAAGCTGTAGAGGCTCTATTTGGCAGGTGCTAACAGAGATTGACAACTGAACACCATCAAGATGCCTAACAGACCCTGATGGGGTCTAGAATGCATGTAGGAACAAAGTACATCTTAACCAAGTAAGGAGCATATGTAAGCCACACAGAAGGGCTTAATGTGGATTTCTTTGATGCTCGGTGAGCTTGGTTGTTTGCTTGCAAACACTTCATTACACAACTAGGTAACATCATCAAACCTATACTACATATATTCTCTTGTAGGAAGATCATTTATGGAAACTATCTTCAATGGAATTATAATAAAACTGTAACAGTTTTTAAAAATCTGACATTTTCAGAGATCCTTCTGCCTTTAGATTGTGCCTAAATCCAGCAAGGGCCTCATATTTATGACAGTTGCAGTGTCCCATGTGATCACCTGTTGTGAACTTTTGACAAGCAAAGTCAATAGGGAAGCCAGATTTGCGTAACAACCATGTTACTAACTGAACAACGACCGTGTTATTCGCTTAACAACTGTGGCAAGAAAGGTCGTAAAATGGGGCAAAATTCACTGAACAAATGTCTCAGCTACAGAAATTTTGGGCTCAAGTCTGATCATAAGTTTAGGATAACCTGCAAAACAAAAGTCTCTGTAGTACTGGGGGGAAGGGGAAAAGCTTTGAGAAATCGTAAAGGAGGTTTCCTTTACAGCATTAATTTATTTTCCCTAAGAAAATGGAGAAAGGCATTTTGGAGAAACTGTAGGAAAGGAAGTAAAAGGCAGAAGAATTCTATTTTTGCTCCAAGAAATTATAATCTGCTCTACACTCTATCTTTTCTGTTGAGAGTAGAATAAAGCAAACAAGCCAGCTCTTATCAATGTATAGACTAGGCCAGTGGTCCTCCAACCCCCAGTCCGGTCTGTGGCTTGCCAGAAACTGGGCCACAGAAACAAGCGAAGCCCCATCAGTGAGATGCAGGCAGCACATGAAACCACATCCCCTCTGCTCCGTGGAAAAACCTCTCTCCATGGAACCAATCCCGGGTGTCCAAAAGTCGGGGGGTGGGCACCGAATTAGATCTCATGCAGACATTTACAGACCCCTCACATCCTGGACATAAACTGTTTCAACTCCTTTCCTCAAAACGATGCTATAGAGCACTGTACACTGGAACAACTAGACACAAGGACAGTTTTTCCCAAACGTCATCACTCTGCTAAACAAATAATTCCCTCAACACTGTATAACTGTTTACAAAGTCTGCTCTACTATTACTGTTAATCTTCTCATCACTCCTTATCGCCCATCCCCTCCCACTTATGACTGTATGACTGTAACTTTGTCGCTTGTATCTTGATGAATGTATCTTTTCTTTTATGTACACTGAGACCATTTGCATCAAGACCAATTCTTTGTGTGTCCAATCATACTTGGCCAATAAAGAATTCTATTCTGTTCTATTCTATTTTGTCCAGGAAAGAAGGGAACAAAGATAATAAACTTAAAACACAATAAGAAGTGAGGAAGCACAATAAGAAGTGAGGGAGGGGAGAAACCCAGGAGTATCTAGAATTGTGCTTCAGAGAGAGGAAGGCAGCCCAATTCATAATAGTCTCAAAGGCTATAAAATTTCCCAAAGATTAATATATCTCCAGCATGAGGAGATATCTGAGATCCACATTGCTCTGCACAGCTTAAATCAGTATACCTGAATTTCCAAAACTTCTCCAAAAAGGGAGAAAGAGATGTGTGATTCTTGGACCAGGTGTTCCCTCGGCTATTTCCTAGCCAGACATCATATCCAGCGTCTGCTAACATGAAAGCCAGACTATTATGAGGAAAATTTTGGTACCATTGGGCAGCATCCACCAGCAAGCCATGCTGTAGGAACACTACTCGCTTTGGACCTGAAACAAAACAATCAGAAAGGCATCCTGTCATTTGGTGTTTTGGGTAATCTTTGCAAGACTAATATTGGATGTTGTAACTTTATTCAGAAATTATAATTTGTAGCAGAATTATTCCCTACTCGTTGTTGCTTCTCTCTCCACGCTTGCAAAGAGGCTTTGAATCCAGAATGTTGTTCTTTGCTGAGAAGCACATTCACCTTACTATTATAAAATGTCCCAACTTAGTAAGAATACAAACTTGTGGTTGTGTTGTTTTCTCTGCCATGTGGAATTCTGAATAAGTTGAGAATATAGCCATCTTCTGTAACCACATAATGTTCCTCAAGAGGATATTTCCAGTACAGGATGAGCTGCTTCTACAAAAAGCAAAGAAGGCAAACACAAAATCAGTTCATCATAGTGATAAACCTGACATTATGAATAGACCTAATAGACTATTTCAATCTAAAGAAATACTAAGAGGTATAGATGTGAATAATATGACAAAGATACTAATACAGTAACCAACACCTATAGATAACTACATATATTATGAACATTAAAACCCTGAACATGGTAACAGCTAATCAAGTTAAGTTTAATTCTGCCAAGGTTGTCAGTCTTTGAAGGCCTTCCAAGATAGTTTTTATGAGACTTTAGAAGACCTTAAAAGCAGATGTCATCCTTGCTTCAGTATTGTTCCAAGGGAATGGGCTGTTCTAAAAATTCCTTCAAGAAATTACTTACTGAATTCAGTCTGGCTTCGGGATTAACATTTCTGTTCACATTTTTTCCTTCATCTAATACAGGCCAATAATGTAAAATCAGAACCAGCCACATTTTCAGTTTCCCTGTAATTAAAAGATTTATTTATTTTTATTTGATTTGTAAGCCAGCCACCTTAAATGCAAGATTCTGGGAAGCTATCAATGATTAAAAACAAAACAAAAATAATAGTGAATCAATAACATATATGAGATTTAAAAAAATCAACTAATTCATAAATTAACATAACCGTAGTATAGGCTCTGTCACAAGCTTGGGGTCAAAGCTGGGTAGCAAAATCAGGCCTAACACCTTGAGGCAAATTTAATCTCCAGAAGAATAATATTCTATAGATGCTACAACAGAAAAACCTGTATTCCCAGCTCTCGCCAAATAACACTCCTTAATAGACAGGACCCATACCATGCCTCTCCCATCAGAACTAACAGGACTGGTACATGTAACTAGGAAGAAACAGTCCCACAAATAACCTAGGCCTAAGCCATGAAGTGTAGGTAATTACCAGTGCCTTGAATTCTATTCTATTCTATTCTATTCTAAAGGATCAGAATCAAGTTCACTAGATTTTCTCTTGCTTCAATTAAATTTGCACCAAAGACCAAAGGTTGAAATAATTCCATTAAAACTTCAGTTAAAACTATTCTATCAAGGATATAAACCAGTATTTAGAATAAAAATAGTAATTATTCTAAAAACCAAGAAAACATTTGCAATGGTCAAAAGAAATGGTGCATCTCAGTTTCAATTTGGTACCCTAGTGAATGTTTTTTTTAAAAAAAAACATTAAAATTCTAATAAAGGTTTGCTTGGGATGCATTTTTCTACACATACATTTTCTACATTATTATCAAAATATAGAGGGTACCCAGCAACATATTGTTGCCTAAAATCAATTCTGCAATCTTTGGAAGTGAATTTCAGGAATTTAAATTTGCATTCGTACGAATCCTGATTCTTAAACTTGCAAATTAATTTTAAAACTACCCATTCAATTTCTATTTTAATAGATATTTATGTGTAATTAGACCTTCTGTCCAATTCAATAGTTTGTGCAAAGATAGAAAAAAAACATGAATAGCTTTCAGCACCTGTAGCTATTTTTCTCTATACAACATTAATCATAGAGAAATACCATGTAATATACATTTATGTTGCATTTATATTCAGCCTGGATAGTTCAAAGGAACTTACCAGAGAATATCAGTTGCTTGGAGGGTCCAACCTGCCAGATACAGAAAAATAAGCTAAGTGAATAAAAGCAGAGCAGAAATAACCCAGACTATATCAGAATAAGGTAGCCACAGTTCTTTCAGAATGATTAGTTTGGAAAAATGACCCTTTCTTCTCGATAAACTCTACCTTGTATTTTAACTGTAGGTTGGGATAGAATAGGAAAAGGAATGTAAAAGAGGTCACTTTTTTGACATTGTAATATTTTAGTACTACAAATAACAAGCCAGACGAGAGATTTACAGCCCCATTGTGGTGCAAATCTTAATCAAAACTGGTTCTGTTCAGTTCTTATTTCCTCGTCCAGAAATAATTATGAGATATTTAAGGAAGATTTTTGTTTGACAAACATGCTTGACATTTTCAAGTAACATGCTTCACATAAAGGTCAGGTCATATGTCAACGATGCTCTTTGCTTTTCTCCCTTTTGAAACAATTATGTTTTCACTCAGCCCATTTAGAAAATAATAATAATAATAACAGCAAAATGCAACCCAAGTCACTGTGCTTAGCTGTGTTTTAAAAGATTCATATCATTTTTAAAAATTATATTTTCAGTTTTTAAATCAGCTCCTATTAAGCTTGCAGTCTGAGAGCACATTTTCCTTCTGGGTAATGACCAATTAGTTCAATATTCAGAAAAAAAGGGACAGATAGTCATCCACTTGTACAGGTCCATGTATTAGCATGGAACCTACTATCACACTGGGTTCCTTAGTTTGCTACATTAGGCTTATACCAAGGATTGTTTCTGGAAAAAATAGTTCCTATTAGCGACAGCCAGCAGTGTATGAGGCAGGGCTGGGCTTCAAAAATTTTAGCAATGAGTTCTCTGCCCAGTTGTTGGGTGGTCATGGGTGTGGCCATGGTGGGTGTGGCCTAGTCTTCCTCCTGCACCATTGGGGTGGGCGTTTTGCCCTCCCCGGGCTCTGGAGGCTTTCCTTGAGCCTCCAGGAGGGCAAAAGCGGCCTCCCCGGGCCCTGGAGGTCTGTTTCTGACCGTCCCAAACTCCCATCCTGGGAGGGGAGGGGTGGGGTGGGAGGGGCCAGCCAGGAGTGGGATTTGGGGGCTCTCCAAACTGTGCAGAATTTTAGCTAGGTGTTTTCCCAAACCCCTGTGAACCCCCAGCAGCCGACCTCTGGTCTGAGGGAGTGTCCAATCTGTAAGACCAGTGTACCAATGTTCAATGCAGCAAGGTCACCATTACAATGCTGCGTTCTTCATCCTGTAGATTCTCAATCCCTACCATTGGCTCCAGTGAGCTAGCAAAGATACAGGAGAAGAACAGGCAGAACTGAGGGGCTTAAGAGTTGTTACATTGCCACAAATGATCCAAGCCCAAGCCCTTTGGAATTCCATTGACCCTACCTGATGCCAATTTATTAGCAATAGCACTTAGATTTATAGACAGCTTCACGGTGCTTTACAGCCCTCTCTAAGCAGTTTACAGAGTCAGCATATCGTCCCCAACCCCCTGGGTCCTCATTCAAATTCGAAATGTTCCATTTTAAGAACAAAATGGCGGATTTAGAATAAAAAAAAGGCTGTTGCAATCATTCATAGTGTGTTGGATATGAGGCAGCTCTTCAAAGATGGAAACAATCTAGTTAGATTCAAAATATTTCTGAAAAAGGATTGAAATGATATATCCGTTTTGATATGGAAATAGCAGTTTCACACTCAGAGCCAATGCCTCAAACAAGATTTATTTTATTTTATTTATTTAAAATGTTTACAGGGCTGCCCATCTTAAACCAAACTCTTGGCAATGCAAGATAAAAACAATATATACAAAAAAATGAAATAAAACACTAAAAGAAAGAACAAAAATGATCTGGCGCCACCACTAAACTTTCCAATATAATCCAGAATATCCAATTGCACCCAATCCCAGTTTTAAATGCTTTTTGGAAGGATAAAGTCTTTCAAATTCAAAATGGAGGAGGGGGTTGTGGGATGGATTTACTAAACCATTTATTATTTAATTACTATTCTATGTATAATGTACAGTATCTGTTCATCAAAATGAAACAGTTGCATAAGAAAAATGAAAGTGATACAAAAGATACACAGGTTATATATAGACATACTCACACACACACATGCATGTACATATTTGTCCAATATTTTAAATAAGTTTTCTAGTTAAAATTAAATAAAAAAGTATATTAATGAAAACTAATTAAAATTTTCATACAGAATAAAAATTAGCAAGATGTAATATTTAGAGCTAAAAATAGGAGAAATGAAAGAAAGAAGAAAGGACAAAAAAGCACAAAACAAAGGAAAGAAAGAATGATTATAAAAAGTGATTTCTGATTTTCTTTTACAAAAATTATGTGTATAAATATAAAATAACTCCTATTGCAGCATCGTTTGCAATAGTTTCAATAAAGAATGATCATAATTCACTACAGTACAGTCATCCCCTACGCAGTTTATGTTTGTAAGCATTTTCTTTTTAAAGCCACAAGTAACTTCAGGTCTTCAATCCATTCTTAAATGTATTTTTCCAACATTGAAACAATTCAGATCTGTAATGTTTTGCCCTCCCTTGCTCTGTGATACACACCACAGTGGTTGACCAAGCATTTAGAAAAATGTTTTAAAGTGAAGTTTCATTCAGACTAGTCAGCCACGGCTACTGCTGAATTCAGATAAGACAGTAAAACACTGCTACAACACTCAATTTATTTTTCAAAAGTAGCCAGTGTAGTATACTGAGATCCACGTTCAAGTTTAACCCTCACCTAAAGAAGCTCACTTGGTGACTTTGGATCATTCATTACCTCAACTCAACTTACCTCGCAAGATTATTGCTGTTGGAAAAAACTGAAGACTTGAAGCCAGAGGCTAGCATGTGGAGGACAAACTCCAAAGATCATTTGGAGGTGGAAGAAATTTCAAATGTAATTTATTAAATTCCCTGTATAGATTGCCCCGCGACCATATGGAGGGATGAGAAGGAAGATAACCAGAGGATTGCAAGAACATGAGCAAGTGCTTAGAAGAGGAGACCCGAACCCATTGGCAGCCTCATATTGCAATGAGTGAGAACATGCATTCAGTTTTGTGACTACTACTATTGTGGGTCAGGTAGGGACAAAAACAGTCAGAGAAATGTTTGAAGTCTTGGAAATGGAGCCGTCAGTCAGTAAGGGTGCTGATTATCACCAGCCTATCAGGTACTTAGGAGCTGAGGGTACAGTGGCACAAGGAAACAACAATTAACAATTTAACAACCAGTCATTAACACCCTAGTTAACAACTAAAAGCTACACATAATATAGGAACCATATAAATACAACACATAAAACAGCCCAGTGTGCATATTCTGGAGAGAGAGAAGTTCTCTGATATAGGCTCTAGCACTAACCCAAAAGCTTGGAAGAATAAACTTTTGGAACCAGAGAACGACTCAGATTGGATACTGCAACATTATCCTGGGACACGTATATTTACTGTCATTTGCTGGAGTGCTTCCTTATGTCACTTTCAGCTCCTGCAGGAAAGACAGGGTATAAACCTAACAAATGGATAAATGAATAAAACTTCTAACCCATCTCTATGTGTTTGTCCTCACTTGGAATCTGTGGTCAGTTCTAACCAAGCACTATAAAATAAACGTTTTGATTTAGGAAACATAGCAACAGGGACACGTCTGCATAAAAGCTGAGGAAGAAAAGAAGAATTAAGAAAACATTTTAGCCTGTGGGTGAGGGACAACAACTCACAGAGGTTACCACAAGGGATAGTCTCTCATCAACAATGGGAAACTTTCTAAGAGCACTGCCTTCACCTTTTGATATTATTTAATTAAAAGCAAATTAACATTAGATAAATAAAATGCAATTGAATATGGATTCTCTATGAACTTGACAGTTTTCCATGCTGTCTTTAAAATTCACAATTCAGTGATAACTTTTGGAATCCCACAAACGAGGAAAGCTTTCAGAGATTGCTATTCCCAAAAGACAGCAAGAAACATGCTTTCCCCTTTTACTCTCACAGGTACCTCCTAAATTGGGAAATCAATAGGCGAGGAAATAGAACTCCTATTATTGGAAAAGCACCTATGCCCTATTTTAATGCAAAGGAGCAAGAATTATGCTCTGAAGCTAAGTCATACCAGTTTTGACACATTAATATG